ATTGGCTGCGTTCATACTTCACGATTAGGGCCGCAAGACTTAAGAATCGGACGACTGTGGCTGAGCTAGTCGTTAGACCACTGTAACAGCGTTCCCATTGAGGATAGAACGTCTTGCGATCCTTGCAGCGGTCCAACAGTTGGCGGTGGAGCGCGTTCGGTCGCAATCGCGCGACAGAATCGTCGAGTCGTGGACTTTGAACGCGGCCTTGCTTATAAAGTGAAGTATCGTTAGGGGCTTTAATTTCATTACATTCTCAGGTAATACTGAATACTTTCAAATGCCTGACGTGCTCAGTGGAAGCCAAACTAAAGTTTCCTCACTGACTTTGGCTTTCTACTCGGGCGTTTTTTCGTTCTCCGGTTATAGCTATTTGAATTTCGTCACAGAAGAGCTCAAGGAGCCCTACAGGTTAGGAATTGTCCATTCAGTCTGGTACAACTATTCGAAACGCTAAGACATTAATTTTCAGAAATTTACCTCGAGCAATCTACATATCATTGCCAGTGGTAACCCTGATATATATACTTGTAAATATGGCGTACTTTGCTGTACTTTCCGTTGATGAGGTAGTTGCTTGTAAAAGTATAGCGTTTTGAAGAACACATTCCGCGCCGATCGTGCGGTTGGAGAGCGCTGTTCGGCTTGGGGGGGTCTACACTTTCTCTTGTTCCTTTTGCTAGTTCATGTTAACTAACAGGGCTCACTCTGGTGAAACCTGTGAACATTTGTGAAGCTGCGAAACGGTACAAGTGAGTCAATTTGAACAGTACTTTGGGAAATTTACATGTTTTCACAAGGTGGCTTGTACAAGCTCCTGTGAGCATCATTTGGTGTCCCCACCAAGCCAAGCTGCGCCGTGCCTTCAGTTTGTCGTTGAATCTGTATTTCATGAAGTAATAAAGTCACCTACTTTGACTACGCAACACTTCAGATCCTCGAATCGGATGCGGTTGCGGTAACGTTCGCTGGGAAGGTAATGGGACCGTTTGCTCCTCTGATGCCATTTTTTGTCGCCTGCTCATGCTTTGGAAGTCTGAACGGCATTCTGTTCACTTCGTCACGAATGTTTTTTGCTGGTGCACGGTGAGTGGGCTATTGGAATTACCCTTTCTGTTCTTTCAGAGACT